CTCTAACTGTATATAGACTTCCGTAATTTGAGATCGTGATTTGAGTAAAAATAACTATATAAATCGAGTCGTATTATCTGTGAATATTATAAAGTAGTGTTTACCGCTATAAGATACAATAGAAATCGGACCCTAGATATCTAGATAAATAAACTCGCTAGGTTTTGATCTAATAGACCGTTCTTTACCGAAAGGTAGAGTATAACCTTTACCCTTAATATAAGGTATATAAGGAAAAGTAATACCTACACCCTTCTTTAACTTAACGCTATTAGTAAATATCTCTATTTTTCGTATACGTTCTTCACTAGTATAATAGGCTCGACGATATACCAGATCAATAGAAATAGGCGAGATACCAGCTTATATAGCGAAAACAGTTTAGAGAGCTAGTAACGAGATTACAATTAAGTATTTGATTAACCTTATCGATTCTAGCACAGTTTAACTAGTATTACTCTCCTTTATACGTAGTAAAACTAACAGTAGACTCTGGACTATAGAGATCTTAATACTTAAAAGTTATTATCCCGTTCTTTGTCTATATCCCAATTAGACCTGGCAGTGACCCTCCGGGTGGTCCATGACCTTGGACCCTCCGAGGGTCCAGCGACCCGCCAAGACCTGGAGTTCTACATAAATATACGTAAAACATGGTTTATAAGCATGATATTTCCTATTTAGGATAGGTTATGTATACATAATTTTCTTGGCGGGTCTAGGATCCTGACTTTAGACCCTCCTTAGCGCCTTGGCGGGTCCAAATGGAGGGTCACTGCCAGGTCTAATCCCAATGTCTACCTTGTCTAAAGCAGATATAGAAATCAGACTAGACCGAAGATCTAGAGTAAGCTAGACCTTTTAAAGAGTAAGAGGGGCTAGTTTTATAGACAAATTTTTATCTAATAGATATAGAATTATATCTCTATAACCCTTAGTGTAAAAAATATCTCTAGTGGCTGTCGAAATAGGTAATATACACTATCTGAAATTAACAAAAATAGATCTATAAGGAGTTATATACTAGTACTAGAATCGATTATCCAGCGTATAATATTATTGTTATTATTGGCTATTAGGCCTTCTTTTAATATAACGTAGGAATTATAAACCGTATTTACCTAAAAAAGAGTATTCGAAAAAAGGTTATTGTATCGAAAAAGGGGATCTCCGGAGGGGGGACCTTATTACAGTGTAGTAGGAGGATAAGATACCGGTGCAAAGATTGTATTAGCTCTTTATCGAGGTTACTATTAAGGCAGCGAAATAATTCTTCCTTAATTGTTAACCTAGCCGATAACTTATCCTAGCTGAGGCACTGTAACCTATTAGAATTAAGGTTATTGCTATTAATTCTACTAGATTGAAGTTATATTCGCCGAGTTCTTTAGTAGGGGATACCTATTAGAGTAATAATTACCTAAGGTACCGTAATATCTGCAGAGAATTATATTCTCCTCTCTAATAAAGTCAGTCTTCTTCTTAGAGGATTTATCCTTATTGTTATTCGACGAATTACCTAAATTAGATTACCTATCGCCTCCTTTCTTTATATCCTTTTTCTTATTGTTATTATAAGAAGAGGTAGGATAAGTTATAGTTAAATTCGCAGAGGTATAGGAGGGATTCGTAGTCCGATTATAAATATCTATTTTAAAGAACTCAGTATAAACTTAATCTATAAGATTAGTATCCTTCTTATTAACCCTAAGGTTCTAGAGAAAGGTATAATATTTCGGATTCTTATTAATAGCTTTCTTAAACTAGTACAATATATACGCCGAGTTTATCTTACTATTAATAGCAGTGAGATCACAAAGTATCTCTTAAAACTTATATATAAATTCAGTAGCGGTCCCACTCTTAAAGCGTAGATCAGTCCACTTAATATAGCGAGTAAATAAATATTGATATAATAAAGCTGTGTATATTAATCGAAGCTTCTTAAATATCTCCCGAATATCTGTAAGATAAGAGATATAAGCAAAAGGTTTAGGACTAAGAGTGCTTCTGAGTATTATAATCGCTCGTGAGTTATATAAATCCTAATTCGTATATTTGGAATTATACTCTTTTCGGAGTGTAATATTAGATTCGATAATCTCCTTCACTCGAGTATAAACGTTAGCAGTAGAAATAGTTACTGTAGTAGTCTTATCGCCAGCGAGGTCTTTAGCTTCTTAAATCAGACTTTCGCGAATATTATTAGGAGAAGTATCCTAATACTCAGGGATCTCTAGGATTACAATACCCCGAGAGATTATATATATATAATAACGATTGTTAGCTGTAAGAGCTAGATAGAGAGTAGTTTCCTAGTCTCTAAAATTAGATTGTCCCTTCAATTTTAGGACTACAGCTAAGATATCAACCTTATTGGTGTTAAGAACAAAGTCCTCGATATTGTATAAAGCCTCTATTGCGACACCGGGGTACTTATTAACAGATAAATATATAGAGGGTACACGGGATCGATAGTCCGATTTTTAGGGTATCGATTTTGTCGAAAAAGACAGAAAAAACAAGGTAGGTTTCTCCTTCAATAGGTTAGATCCTAACCTCGTAAAGAATAAGGTATTAGTCTTATCTAATTAAGAGATAAAAACTCTGTTTTGTGGGTTAAACGAGACTATAGAGGTTCTATAGTAGGGTGGTGTAACGCAGTACACTAATAGGAGGAAAACCAAGGTTTCGAGTCTGTACTGTTAAGTAAAAGATAACTCGAAAGCACGAGGCTTATAACCTGATAGAGATATAAGATCTACAATGAAAGTGTAGATATAACTGGAAATCTCTGAATTGCGTGGAGAAAGAAGGAAAGAAACTATCTATATACTAAGACTAAAATACTGGGAGCAATCAGCGGTAGGTTACGTGACCTCCCTGTCAACAACTTCTTTGTGTACGAAGGGGTTATACCGGCTCTTAATACTTAACGGCCACGGAAGTTATTTAACGCCTAAATTTGATTTGATTTATAAGCAAAATAAGGTAATACCAATTTGTATACCAGCGCACTCTTCTCACCTTTTATAACCTCTGGATATTGGCTGTTTTGCGGTGTTAAAACGATCGTACGGTCGGATAGTTGAAACCAAAATACGGAATAGGATCAGCTATATCGATAAGCTTAACTTCCTCGAAGTATACCCCCTTACACGAATCGAAGCTTTTAAATCGGAGACTATCAAAAATAGCTTCGGATCAGCCGGTTTAGTACTATTTACACCCGACCGAGTGATTTTAAAGCTTAATATTCGACTTCGAACACCTACCCCCCCTTTAAGCCGGGGGAGTGAATCAAGCCGGAATTTTATACTAAAAACACCAGCTACAGAGAAAGAACTACGTCGTTAAGCTTTATCAATTAAGGCTTTACTTCGTATAAGATCTCGAAGCCCACTAAGTCTATCAGATCGGGTATTAGACCAGCTTATAAAAGGCTTCTGTCTTACAATATAAGGTGCTATCTTACTCACCAAAGAAAATAAGGAATTACGCGCCGCCAACGAGAAGTATATAAAGGTATACTGGTCTCAGGTGTAAGGCCTATCAACCGGGTAAGATACAAGGACTCTGTGAGAGGAGACAAATACAATATATTGTGTGGAGCTGTCTCAAGACTAATTCTTACAGGAGTCAGTGGGATCCAGGGGGATCCCAGACTATAGGGTAAACTATCTGATCGACTAACGTGGCCGTTATATAACGAACCCCTCACGATCAGGTCACGATACTTAGCTGATTATATATTGGTCCTATATCAGCTAACTCCCGTATTGTCAGTCTCTAGGTTGTAAGGATCTTTATCCGTTACAAAGCAGAAGCAAAAGCGTACTCGATCCCGAAGGTAGATACCCGCCGCAGAAGGCCTTTCAGTTTAAGAAGCCTCTGTATTAATTATACAGCAATAGGAAGTAACTGAAGCACCTCTCCCCAGCCCCGGTATACCTAGAGAATCGGCTATTCAGCCATATACGCGGCCCCCCCGGGGGTGTGGAATATACAGATTGCTAGGGTATAGAAGAGAAATATATCCAGATAGACCACTTAGTTAGTTAAATTAATTTAATGGCGTTTTGGTTGAGATAAATATATTTAAAATTGGTAGGCTAGGTGGGGTAGACCACTCGGTGGTGAAATACGTTAGTTCTCTTAAAGAATTAACTAAAGATCTTAGAGAGAGAGTTAAAGCTAATAGGAAGCTTTATAAATAAGTTTATCGACCGAATCCGGTGAATCCTCCGGAGATATATCTATAATATAAATAGTCGAAAATCAATCCTTTACCGAAAAGAGAATGACTATTTGCACACCCCTTAGCGCCGTTTTTTACTAACTGCACACCTTTAGTCCATTTTAGGTATGGCTTTTCTTGGCCAACTATTTGTAATCACTTGTGTAATTTAATATGGTATCTCCATAGTAAATAACACAATAATCACCTGACCTTTGGCTATATGTAACCCTATACCAAAATGCCTAGCCGAGATCATGTGCCTGCTCCACAATTAATATCGCACACATACCATGATTAATTCAATACATTTTTGAAGCTATTCCCAGACACTGTCCCTATTTTTAAACCATATTTTTAAACTCCATTTTTAAACTCCATTTTTAAACTCCATTTTTGAAGACTCTATTTACAAAGACCCCATTTTTGAAGCTATTCCTAGATCAACCATAGATCCTTACTTAATACTCCTCCCCTGCCTACCGAAGCCTATGAACCATGGGAATCGCCTCCCCCGACCGACCGATTTGCCTCCCCAGAAGAAGCCTTTGTCGATCTCAACAAATGGGCTGCTACCTAGGGGTTCTCTGTGGTATATAGCCGTACAAAGTCAAAGAAGTACTGGCTAAAATATAGCCTCTCAGCACCAACGAGAGCCCCTGTCCCGGTAGAAAAGAGATAGCGGAAGCGGTTTCGCCCAGCGACGAACTGCGAATTTAACGGCACACTTTCTCCCCTTCCCTGTGGTACTTGGCTACTACAGATGGGTAGTATAACGCACACCTATGCGCCCCGGTATGTGTCGACCCTTCGGATACACCGTCGTCTCGAAAAATCTCGTATTGGGCCGGTTTTGACACCTCAGTTCCACCAGGGTATCGCTAACCGGTAGATTCTCGGCGGAGTATACCGATCGGCTGAAATATAGGGTACAGAATCATCTCTCCGGCCTAGAGACATTGCTAATATTCGTGCAAAGCTCCAGCGCGAATTCCTTGGTGATCTTACCCCTGTACAGGCCTTACTCGCTAAACTTCCTGCGGACAAGGAATGGATCGTTAGATATAAGGTTGATACCTATAATAACTCTCTTCATTGTCTGTTTATGGTTTATCGGACGAGTCTCGAGATGCTACGGGCTCACCTATACTTTCTGTGGATAGACTGTATATACAAGACCAATAAGTGGCGTATACCCCTACTAAATATTATAGGGGCTACCCCTATTGGTACCAGCTTTTTTACTGCCTAGGCCTTCCTAAGCAGCGAGAAAGAAGCCTCGTATCTTCGAGTACTGGGTTGGTTACGGGATATCTACCAAGCGCTTTATACAGGTCAGGATATCCCACCATATAAATAGACTACGACCCGCAGCAGTGTAAGTAATATACAGCTTACTATAGACCCCTCTATAGTAAACTGCATACGTTTAAATATTGCAAGCACTGCCGAGGGTCGTATCTTAGATACTAAGTGGGATCCCGAAGCCCCTGAGATTGATAAGCCTGATAGTACCCCCTCTGAGACCCCCTCTAAGACCCCCTCTGAGCCTCCTACTAAGCCTCCTGCTGAGCCTCCTGCTGAGCCTCCTGCTGAGCCTCCTGCTGAGCCTCCTGCTGAGCCTCCTGCTGAGCCTCCTGCTGAGCCTCCTGCTGAGCCTCCTGCTGAGCCTCCTGCTGAGCCTCCTGCTGAGCCTCCTGCTAAGCCTCCTGCTGAGATTCCTGCTGAGATTCCTACTGAGATTCCTACTGGGGGGATTAACTATTTTGGTCCGAATACTATTATTACAGATAAGGAAAACGCGCTCCGCAATGCAATCAAAAAGGTATATATTATTTATCCTATCTTTACCTACTATTTATAAGCTTACTATTTAAAGGTCTTTCCAGCTACTAAGGCCTTGCTCTGTATCTAGTATATTACCCACAACATCGAGTGTTATACAAGACCTTCTATTAGGGCCCTTGTCCTCCGCCAATTCCCTTCCTCCACAAAAGAAGCCACCCGCCAGCACATTAACGAGCTCTGGGCTGTTATAAAAGCGGATTGGTATAGTATCGTTTATACCTAGGATACCACTACAAAAGACACAAATTGGAGGGCTTTTAAGAATAAGTACAAGGATCATCCTGTGCTCTTACGGTATATCTACCGTGAGTGGATAAAAGGCTGCGGGACACACTTCCTCCGATGCTATACAAAAGGTTTATTCTATATAGATAAGACCTCGATATCTTGTGTTAAGGCTGCCCACTATAGCCTAAAGCGGGACCTAGATAGGTTATCTAGGGATTTGTAGGGTGTCGCTACTAAAATTATATCTACAGTTAAGCAGTAGGCAGCGTATACTATACAAAGAATCTACACTGAGTAGGGGGAGATTTAGACACAGGGTCCACCGATATTCCGTGGAGTCGAGACCTATATTTTAAGACTTACACTTAAACGTACAAGGAAACTCTTTGATTCCTATCTACCTCCTAGTGAAGGGAAGCGCAGTATAAATTCTATATACTTAGGCTTATCTTGGAGTACCAGGGGAATCCCTTGTATTCACTGGGTGTTCAAAGTATAGCAGAGTGGTTAGGAACGTTGCTTTACTGCTACACTATTGATCTACCCAGATCTCTTAAAGCTTCAACACTTTATTCATACGTATACCACCAATCTATTACGGCTAACCTAGGCCGACTTCCACCCCCAATGGTGGTTAAGACCTGCACCAAATACCTCGCTGGCGCCACCAGATATAGTCTATTTAGTGCAAAATCCCCACATTGTACGGGCGCGAGGTCGGCCCACTAATATCGTTGTTATCTTATCTTCTCGGGTATCCCAACAATATACAAAGGGTACCAAGCGCTCCAAATCGGGATATAAGTATATACGAGAGCAAGAAAATGCTATTATTGAGGCCTAGGTACCAAGATTATCGGGCCGGGTACGACAGAAGGTAAACTGGCAATATAACGATGAATTCATATCACTCGGCGAGACAATATCGGCTTCGGAGGTTGAGGCAGACGCAGGCCAAAATTGTATAGGGGAGAGCTCTGCAGATAAAATCGCTGTTAGTAAGTCGACAGTGTCTCGTTCTCAGGGTGTTCATCGGGGTGAGAGGCAGTCAAACCAGGCTAGGATTCTATAGATTAAATCAGTATGCAAAATAAGATCTGTGAATAGCTTCAAAAATGGGGTCTTTGTAAATAGAGTCTTCAAAAATGGAGTTTAAAAATAGAGTTTAAAAATGGAGTTTAAAAATGGGGACAGTGTCTGGGAATAGCTTCAAAAATGTATTGAATTAATCATGGTATGTGTGCGATATTAATTGTGGAGCAGGCACATGATCTCGGCTAGGCATTTTGGTATAGGGTTACATGTGGCCAAAGGTCAGGTGATTATTGTGTTATTTACTATGGAGATACCATATTAAATTACACAAGTGATTACAAATAGTTGGCCAAGAAAAGCCATACCTAAAATGGACTAAAGGTGTGCAGTTAGTAAAAAACGGCGCTAAGGGGTGTGCAAATAGTCGAACTCTACCGAAAATTCTACCTTAGCCTAGGAAAAGATAATAGAAGGAGATATAGGTTCTACCTCTAATTCTTAAGGACCTACCTGATATCCCGATCCTTTCTATCGAACAGTCGGAGATACCTAATTTTAAAATTGTTAGGGTTTCTAAGACTCCCTAACTATACCTTTTAAGGGATAGTCTTTCTCCTTTATTAAGGATAAATTAAAAGTAGAATATTTCTTCGCCTTAACCTAAGGGAGGCTAGTAGATTCTTTAGTAAGAAAAGCCTACTCTTTAAGATACAGAACAGATAGTAGATATTAAAGTTCTAGACTAGCGAGCCTCTTACGATAAGGAAGATCCTTATATAGAACCTATAACTAATTTAAAAATAGTTCCTAAATCGATAGTATCCTAAGTGGTATTATTTTAACCTACTAGGACTTCTTATACTTAGAAGAGGAAGAATATATAGGATGGTAAACCCTATTGGCACAGAGTAATCACTAATAGCACAGAAGTCCCAACCCTTTTAGGAAAGTTTATCTTAGTATATAATTACCTAATCATTTACGGTATAGTATGGTATGATATATCACGTGATAAATATTTCTCTTCAAAAATAAGTTTAAAGTATAGAAGTAATAGGTCACGTGACAAATTATAACAATCACGTGATATTCTAGCAGAATCTAGCTTTGAGTATTTAGGGCTGTATATAGGGCTTTTTTATATAAATTAAAGCCCCAATGTATAGTTTGAGGGTTAAAGATAGCCCTAAAACTCTTTTGGGAAGTATATACCTCGTAATAGGGCTATAATCTATACTATACTTGTTATTTGGAATCACGTGATTAAAAACTGAGATCACGTGATGATTTTGACTTGGATATTTATACCCAAAATTGAAAGAGTAGATATTATCACGTGACAATATTTACTATACTGTAAATAATTATATAATTATATACCAAGAGACACTATCCTAAAAGGGTCAGTATTCTGTGCTATTAGTGATTACTCTGTGCCAATAGGGTTTACCATATAGGATTCTAGTCTAAAAAGACCCCGCTAATTCCTAAGTAAACCTAGGAAATTCCTAAATAAGTATAGGTAATTTAGCCTATATAAACTTAACACTAACTAGAGAAATAGACCTAAGAAGGATTGTAAAAGGGAAGAGAAGAACTAGAGAGTTTATTATCTTTAGTTCCGACTATAAGAGATTCTTTAGTTCTCTCGATAGAATCTTCCTAAACGATCCTATATCGTTTATCCTATATTCGCTGTTCTCCAGAATGTTATATAGATCTAAATCTACCTTCTCTACTAATAGAACGTCGAAAGAGAGAAAGTGCAGAGAGGAGACTATCTAGGAGTAGAGAAATATCTATCTAGGTTAAGGAAGAAGAAGAAGAGGAAACTGTCCCTTCTTTCTCCGTAAAACGAGCGGTATCTAGACAGACTTATAATAATCCTTTTATCTATAATAGAAAACTACTTCTAGTTAAGGATATATAGATCCTAAAATCTATTATATAAGCACTAAAATATAAATTCTCCGATAGATAGACTGTAGTAATAGTAGACTAGATTAATAATATTACTATAAAGGCGACCTACAAAGTTATAAGAAAGCCTAAGGGAGTAAAGGCTCCAGACCTTGCTAACTCCTATAGACCCACTCCTATAAGAAAGTCTTGGCGGTTAAAATTAATGCTAAGCCCGACTATCACTGCCTATTTAGGTAATATAATTCCCTAAATAGGCTTAGCCTAGTCCTATAGGAGTGATTTTACTCCTATGGGACTAGGATATAGGACCAAAATTTTCTTAGTCCTATAGGAGTTGGTAAGGTCTAAAAGGCTCTACTAAATTAGTAGGTTGGTTTTTAATCTTAAGGTAAACTATAAGAATAAAGTCTATAGATTTAAAGTAAGATAGGTTATCTATAGAAACCACTAATAGAAGAAGGAAGACTCAATCTTCTATTCGCTAGTTATCTTGAACACTCTTATTAAGATTATTTTTATAACTATTATACAACGAAACTATACCTAGAAACAGTTTAACGTAGTTATAGTATACCTTAATATATCGAGGGAATATAAGGAAGTTATTTATATTATATAACTACCTAGTTTTAAATACAGTAAGCTAGAAATTAGTCCTAAAGGCTAGGTCTATTAGCTAAACTAGGCGCTTTATAGACTACGCGATTCGGCGAAGCTATAGAATAAAGACTTAAATATAAAACTTAATAATATAGGTTTTATACCTCTTAACAACGATCCCTATATATATATAAAAGGTTTAGGTAAGATAGCCTAGTACCTAATTGTATATATTAACGATTTTATTACTACTACTCTAACTAAGGAAGAAGTAGACTAAATCTTTAAGGAAGTCCAATCTAAATTCGATATTAAGGATATAGGTAAACTATTATATTTCCTTAGAAGTATAGTTATAAGAGATTATAAAAATAGAAGAATCACTCTTTCCTAATAAGTATATATTAAGGAAATTCTTCGACTTATAGAAATATAGAATTATAAGGAAGTAGCTATCCTACTTTTATCCTCCTAGATCTAGGATAATAAAAACGAAGACCCTAAGATACTTCTTTATAGAAAAGAATACACTAGATATAGATCGATAGTAGGATATCTTAATTAGTTAGTAGTAGAGATAAGACCTAATATTAAGTTTATAGTTATAAAACTTTAATATTAGGCTACTAATCCTACTAAAAGAGATCTCTAGGCTACTCGATAGGTCTACTGTTATCTAAAAAGAATAAAGGATTTTGCGATTACTCTAGGATATATTAAGGGGTTAACGCTTTTATATCTATATAGATACTTCCTATAGAGACTAGCTAGATAAGAAGTTAACTAAAGGTATAATTTAGCTCTTTACTAGTACTCCGATTATCTAGAATTTAAGAAAATATATTATTAATATACCTTTATTAACTACCTCTGAGTAGTATATACTTAATAGACCTATAAGAGATATACAATAGCTAAAGAAAATCGCGGAGGCTCTTTAACTAGAAGATACTGAAAAGCTAATTATTATCCTAACTAACAATATCAATATATAGATTCTAATAACAAAGAAGGGTACTAAGAACTCTACTCGTTAGATAGATCTTAAATAGTTTTTCGTTAAGGATATAGTTTATCTCGGAAAGATAGACTTCGGCACAACCCACTCTAACCCGGACCCAACCCACTCTAACCCGGACCCAACCCAACCCAACCCAACCCAAAATAGGTTTTGGGTCTATTGCTTCGACCTAACGATAGGTTTTGGGTTATAGCTTATAACCCAAAACCTATTGGGTAACCTATTAGGGCCCTAATATAGTGTAAACTAGACAAATAGAC